CACCTCACAAAGAGTCCATATAAGTTAGTTCATGGAGATTACGTACCGCCGAAATACTGTCAACAGTCCAAGCTTGCAGTCAGGGGAAAGGAGAGGGGAGTAGGTTTCCTTACCACCACTCCCAGTAGAAGCCTCATGCATGATTGGCCTCACCATGTCACGCAGCAGCAACGTTGTCATGTAGCGGGAATACAGATGGGGCACCACTGGGTACAAGGAGGGGCCTTTTACGGCAACGCCTTTCAAAGTACTGGTGCCAACACTCGCGACCATAACAATGACCTCCTGTCTTTCGTGGTCAACAGATTGTGTGAAGGGGCCCGAGGTCCTAGGTTCATTGGCGGAGACTTTAATCATTTCATCGATGATCTCCCCGTTGTTCAGACCTTGCTTCAACAGGGTTGGGAGGAAGTGCAACATGCCGCCCGTCGAAAGTTCGGACAAGAAATTGCACCTACCATCCAACAAAAACACACCAAGGATTTGCTTTTCTTGAGCCCAGACCTCACCCCACTGATTCGATCAGTTCACGTAGAAGCAGATTGGGTCGCTAATCATTCCATTGTTTATGTGGTTTTGGACCCACACACACCACCTCAGAAAGTCCCAATATGGAAACAACCTCGACCGGTCGAATGGCCACAGGAGGATAGTGATCCAGATCTCCTGATCGATGTTTCATCATGTCCAAGTAGCCAGTTAACTGCAGAACAGCAATATCGAACCATTTGGCAAACTTTCGAGGCACATAAGGTCCATCAGGCCAAGCAATGCGGGCAGAATATCCATGGTTCCCAAACCGGCCGGGGGAGCACAGTTGAACGGACATGGATTCACCAAGATTTTGTGCCGCTCCGACCGACTCGACCAGGAGGTTTCACCCCGTCATTTCATGGCCAAAGTAACATACATACACATTGGATTAAGCAGCTGCGCCGACTTCAGGCACTAGCACAAATGCATCATGCCAATCATGTCCCATCGCCCACATGGATAGAGAGAAAAATAGGCCAATGGAGAGCCATCAAACGGGCAGCCGGTTTCCGCCCATCTTTCGCGCAATGGTGGAACAGCAAGGCCAAACATTTGCATGCCCTGCCTTCCGACCTGCCAGTTTGTCCTCCAGATGGAGACCTTGCACGGTTGCTGGCACTCGACTTCCAGCAGGATGTGTGCCAGCTCGAAAAGATGCTGACCAAATCACGGATCGACAAAGCCAAACAAGCCCGATTAGATAATCCGGCCAAAATCTTCGTCGACCTACACAAGCCCAGGTCAGAACCGGTCCAAATGTTGTTGGCCCACCAAGTGGCTACCATCGACTTGATTGACCACGACGAGAGTGCGGTAGTTCTTGATTCAGCAAACGCTTTCGAGGCCTCCCGGCCCATTGAACATAATGGGATTCCACTTTCAATAATCCACCATGACACTGATAAGATTTGGTTAGAGCACATGCCGCCGTTGCAAGAAGGTGATACACTCACCCAGACAACTCCCATCCTTGACCTTGAAGATATATACACAGCATTCCAAAAAGAGTGGATGGCAAGATGGGATAGACACGCCAATACCTTGGACTCCGCTTGGGAGCCCATCGTTGAATTCGTGCAACATGCATTCCCTGCTCCCCCGAGCTTAGAATACAAGCCTATCACCTATGATGTATGGCTTGCGGCAGTTCGTAAGAAGAAATATAAGGCAGCTGTAGGCCCTGATGGAGTCTCTAGGTCTGATCTGTTAGCCCTGCCTCCAAGTAGTGTTTCCCGCATCCTTGAGTTGCTCACTGCCATCGAAGAAGGCCACTCCATGTGGCCCAGGCAGGTGGTGACGGGCCATGTACATGCCCTGGAGAAAACGCCCAGTGCCTGGCACGCCTGCCAATACAGGCCACTGACAGTCTTTTCGATAGTCTACCGTACTTGGTCCTCAATTCGAGCTAAAGAAACACTAGCATACTTAAGCCGCTTTGTGTCCGCCCAAGTCACAGGTAACATCCCAGGTAAATCCTGCACCGACCTTTGGCTTGGCATCCAAATGCAGCTTGAAGATGCCACGAATGAGCAACAACCCATGGCAGGGGTTGTAGCGGACTTGGTGAAAGCATATAACCTGCTCCCACGTATGCCCTTGCTAGCCATAGGCCTTCACCTGGGACTACCAAAGCCCATCATTCGTGCATGGGCAAATGCTCTGACCCAGCTGACAAGAGCTTTCAGTGTTCGGGGCACTATAGGCCCCCCACTCCATTCGTCCACCGGTTTTGCCGAGGGGTGCGGTCTCAGCTGCACTGCCATGCTTTTGTGTAACATCACCTTAGCCAGGTGGCTGTATTATAGATTTCCCTCGGTCAAATTATGGTCGTATGTTGATAACCTAGAGCTCACTGCCAAATCCATCACCGATGCCAGCAGAGGCCTTGACCTGATGACACAGTTCTGTGCCCTCATGGACCTCCAGATCGACGAAGCCAAAACATACTTCTGGTCCAATGATGCCGCTGAACGAGCCGGGGCACGTCATGCACAACTGCCACTACAATACTCTGCCAGAGACTTGGGAGCCCATATGGAGTATGGTCGACGTCTGACCAACCATGTCCTCAGAGTCAGACTTGCCACGATGCCCCGCATCTGGGATGCACTCGCTCGATCACCGGCCCCGTACCGACAGAAGGTGCATGCAGTCCGGGTCAAAGGATGGCCTCAAGCCCTAAGCGCAGGGCTGTCAGCCCCTCTTGGAGACACCCACATCCGCACACTCCGCACCGGAGCGTGCAGAGGACTGAGAGTACACGCACCGGGCATTAGCCCCATGGTCCATTTGTCGCTCATAGAACACCCCCTCACAGACCCAGGATGCCATCTGTTGATAGCCACTGTCCAGGCCTTTCGCAGACATGCCGACCTAGATCAAGCTTGTCGCATGCTAGACATTCTAGCTTTCGATCACACAGACATGCCGCCTAAGCCAGGTCCCTGCCATGTGTTGCTATCCAGACTGCATCACATTGGATGGCAATGGATCGGTCACGGATGGGTTGCCGATCAGGAAGGCGTTCCTCTCGATCTGCTACACGGTGCACAGGCAGAAGTCCAACAACGCTTGCTCTCAGGATGGCAGCAGTTTGTTCAACTAAGCGTCAGCCGACGCAAAACTTTCCAAGGGATGGAATGGGCACATGCTCCGTTTACCATGGAAAAAGTTGCAACTCTGCCTCGGGAAAAACTAGGCCTAATGCGTAAAGCCCTTAATGGTTCCTTTTTCACCGCTGATACCCAGCTGCACAATAAGAAAGCGCATTCTCTTGTGTGCAAATTCTGTGGTGAAGAAGATTCACAGTTCCATAGATTTTGGGAATGCAAACAGTTCCATCACGTTAGGCCCCATCCATGGCTGGTGACCAAAGTGCTTGCAGGAGGACTGCCTAAGTGCCTCACCTACCACGGGTGGATTGGTTTGCCCACTTCCGTTCGCGCACTGCAAAGGGCACTTGTCCGGCAGCAAGATAAGACAGACCAGTTTGATTTCCCACCCTTTACCCCAGTTGATTTGTTTGTGGATGGCTCCTGCCTTAATCCAACCTGTGCATTCACAAGGGTGGCGGGGTGGGGCCTTGTTGCAGCGAATCCAGCCGATATGTCCAGCTGGTGGCCACTAGCGCAAGGGCCAGTTCCAGGCCACAGACAGACCAGTCTTCGGGCGGAAATCACCGCTGCCATCAGTGCACTCAAATATGTCACACGCACCGGTCAACCTGTTCGGTTATGGGTAGATAACGCACAGGTAGTCGACACCTTGACCCAGGCACTCCGATGCCCAGAGACATGTACATACAGCCGTAATGACCAAGACTTGTGGAGTAACCTGCTTGCCTTGACACGTCTTGCCCCGCAAGATCGGCTCGTCGTGCATAAAGTAGCCAGCCATCAAAATCCTGACAAGGCGGACCTCGTTGAAAGGTGGGCCTTCTCAGGGAACAATGGCGCAGACCACAGTGCGTGGTGGAACACCAGATACTCTGAGGAGGTGCCCCAGCTCTGGCGCCAAGCGACATTAGATTTGGACGCCGCCAAAGTGCTTAGAGATCAGGTGCACCAGACCATATTGCAGGTTAGTGAAGCCGCTGTCAAGCAAGAAAGTCACAGTGCCGACAATGAGCCGGCAGAAGTCGCATTTCCTCTCCCTCTGCAAGAGGTGACGATGGGCACACTCCCCATCCGCCCGCAAACGAGCAACGATAAGCTGATAGGCAGCCATTGGCCCACGCTCACCCAATGGGCCAGCAGCTTACTCCAGCCGTCAGCCACGGTGGTCTTTATCCCCTGGTTTTACTTGTACATTGATTTTGTCTTGGAAACTAACCTAGGCGGGCCAAAGCCATCGCATCGCTACTCACGTTGGCAATGGATGCCCCGTTGTGAAGCAGCCGAACTGGACCTCTTCTTGCGAACTAAGTGGTTCCGACTGTTGTTGATTAAAGTGTACAAAAACGAGGGCATCCCACTGTCCTCGCAATACGTTCGTCCTTCCACCCGGACGATCATGTTCTGGGCCCATAGTGTTAGCTGCCGCATGCAAAGTGGACGGCTACAAAGAGTGGACGCATTCCTCAGCCAATTTCGTGCAGCCTTTTCGAAAGGGAGCGATCTGGCCTCAGTCACCATCTAGGCCGTAGCATTCGGGTTTCTGGTTCACCCCCGCCACCAGCCGCGGTGCCAGAGTCTTGCGGAAAAGCGGAAAAGTGGAGGCCATCGCTACTAGTAGCTAGAATAGTCTACGTTTTCTTCCGGGCACCACAGATGTTGAGATTGAATGCACCTCCAAACTCCTCCGAGGGCGACAGCCACCTGGCTCAGCCTGGCTCCAGCCCAAGGTCAACCACGATCCGTTGCGGTTCTCCAAGAGTAGAATCTATACTTCTTGGGGTCGGATGGTCGGATGAGGAGGAGTATTTTCCGGGGACCCCCTTTTGCGGCGTTTGGAGGGGATTCCTCGAGGAGCTGGCATCGTTCTTGCCGGAAGACTGGGCTGATTACCATGATCCGGTTCATGTTAATGACCATGACCTGATACAGGTCGGCTCGCTTGATTGACAAAAGGAACGACGACTGGTCCGCTGTGTGGGGCGCGGAGTGAGAACTCTCCGTTCGTTTGATGCCCCGTGTTTTCGGCGTTGGAGTCCCACCACTTCAGGGAGATGAGTTTGAACCGGATGAGTTTGGTCTTTTTCTGCTGACAGCGTCCTGAACTCGCCGCTGACCCTGTTTTTTGAAGAGTACACACTTCAGTGACCAGCTTCACACTGAAGCTCTGCTGGGGGCGCGGTTCTGAGGTCTTTTGAGGGTAAGATAGGACACGATCCCATCTTTCTCTGCGGGTCTCCAGATTTTCCTGGGTTGAAATCCCAAACAACTAACAACCCATGGTCTTACTATAGGGCTTTTAGACTACAACACCAGGTCAACTAGGTCAACCCAACTCATTGAATGGTCGAACGGAAGGCTAGGGAGACATTCATATCATTTTTCGAAGGAACTACTTCACCTCAACGGGTGTAGATACCGACTTCGACGGAGTCGTTTGGCTCAGATGGTGCAGAGTGAAATGGAGTGAAGTGCTGGGGCTCCGAACACGTGGAAAACAAATATCACGAAAAGAATTCTCCAACAGCCGTGGAAACCTGCAGGGCTTTCCTCTTCCAGGTCGATGAGCTCAGGACTCCGGAGCAGAACATCCAAACACATCACAGAAGACAGGCATACCGGCATACCAAACTCGCGGATACTCGCGGAATATCCAGCTGCATCCCATACTTGTTCAAGGGTTTGAACAATGATCAATGGGTTGTTCGCAGTGCGGTCCTATAGATCCTGGGACCCCCATTGAACCAAAGTTGACCAACTGAACGCGTCTAGCCGAGCCAGCCAAGCGTTTCTGGGCACGAACTACGAAGTGAACTCATCCAATGGCCCGTGTTGTCACCATGCAGATGAGGCATGGGCCATGAGGCCAGGGCGGATTCAATTGTGTTTCAGAATCTACTGACTATATATCAGTATTATTAAGAATATTCAGTATTATATATTAGCTTCCTTACCGCAACGAGGACAATCTCCTCGTTTCCACCCATTGCCGTCCCAGCGTTCTCTCATCAAATTCCAGATTCTCAACCCCAAAACCAGATTCTTCAGATCCGAAAAAGAGTGATTCACTCATTTCGTTTGAGACCGGTGATCAGTCAGTCTTTTCTTTTCGGACTCTCTCGAGCCGAAAAAACACTAGACACAAGACGTCCGATGACATGGGAAAGCTGAGCAAAAAGAAAGCGCTCGCCACCGAAAGGAACGGACACCAAACAGCAAGCTTAGACTGCACTTAGGACTTAGGTCCTTTGGTCCATTCCCCCCACCCAAAATCGCTGTAGTTGCAATGGTGTGGCAACGCCACAGAAGTGACAGAAGCCCAGTGGAGGGCGGCTCGGAGGTGGCTCCAACGCGGACGTCTGGACGTCGAACGCGCGGCGAACGTCGAACGTCGTTCCCCGTCGAACGGGCGGCCGCTTCGGCCTCGGTGCCAGGCTTTTGAAGAAGGTGGGCGATCTGCTGGACTCGGCCGATGAGAACAGTGCGGATTTGCAAAGCCTCACGAGGCGCGCGGATGTGAACCATCCGCTGCTCCGGTAGACGTGGCGGATCGCCGGTGGAAAGCGTCGGCGCCACAAGACCGTTGGATGAGACGCGAAAACCATGAGATATGGAGACATGAAGACATGGAGAGAAAGAAAGATCCAAAAGAAACATCGCTGTATGGTTTGACGGATTTTTCTTCCACCAACTGCAACTCATGTTCTTTTCTTTGGTGCATGCAGAATGACCAGTCAGACTTGCTGGAGAGGAACCCACGCTGGCGAAAGGGCCGATGACCTGTCTGGAGTGAAACAAAGCGCCCCCCAAGGGCAGATGTCTCTTGAATCCTTCCATCCTTCCAATGAGAAAAGAACGGTTGATTGATTATGGTTGATTTTGCTTTTGCATAGTCCAACACTAGGACGTTCTTCGCACCCTTTTGATCAATGGTGCTTGAAATCTATCTCCCATGTGCTTCAGGTTCTCAAAAAAAAGAACTCTCAGAGAAAAAAAACACATACCTCCACATGAGGTCTCCAGGTCGCACCCAGATCCCCAGGCTTCACCAGGCTTAGGCCCGGTCGTAGGCCCGGTCGGGCGCCCGTCCGAGGCACGTGGGCGATGCCTTGGGCGCTCAGAAGGCCGTGGAGGCCCTTGAGATCCGTGCGACGTCTGGAACGAGAAAGTCCTGGCATTGACGCGAGCGAGCCACATGTGGTTCGAAGATTATTTGAACATGTTTGAAGCCACCCTGTGGTTGCGTGGGGACACCCAGCGCGTTGACCCGTTCCAAACGGAACATGGACGTTTGAACAGGAGAAAGCCCAAGCAAACCCAAGCAAGCCGATCCATGAAGACATTGGCGGTGGGTATTCTTACAGAGGTATCAATCACCTCCCAAAGGATCCCAAAAGATCCCAAAAGAAGGATTGTGATGGATCATGTATACATATGTATACTATATTTATAAACACATATTATATACATGATAACACATTATTAACATTATTAATATACACACATATTATATATATAATGAGTTTGATCCCAAGCAGCCAGATGAAACATGTCGTGACACCTCAGGCCCCCCCCCGATGTCACCCACCTCTCATACCGGGAGGCCGTGGAGAATGCCAAGCGGGTGACGCTGGATTTCGGCATCGTCGAGGCGGGGTTTCGACCGACCGACCGACCGGTCCGACCTCGGTCCCGCCCCGGGGCAGGAGCCGAACCGTGAGAGCGTTATGCCACCGGAGCCAAATAAGTATATAGTGGGTTGAGAGGACCAATGGCACCATCCCCCAAAGGTGGCTTATATAAAGGACATCTTGGGGTTTGTGCCATCTACTCTGAAACCACTGTATAGGTTTCTGAGATTCTTTCTGCATGGCCGGTTTTATCGGAGATCCGGGAAACGTTCGAGAGACTTCTCCCGGTCTCATCCCAAGGGGCCAGCGATGAAGTGGGGATGCGTCGTGACCCAGCATCTTCGCCCGACGGACCAGTCCACCATGCAGGCTGACCTGCGGTAGGTCGTGCCCACACAAGGTCTCCTGGTCATTGGAGGTGGTGCTCCGCCACTTGCGGTGTATCCAGCTGATCCTTATTGAACTGTTCAACTCTGGCGTTCCACTTGGTGACGGTGCCATGACCCACAGCCAAGTCTTGCTGGTGGCGTTCTGGTGACTCCTAAAGTTAGGAAGAATCCGTTCTGAAGTCACGCTCGCTCGCTCTGAAGGAAGACCAATGGTGAAGTCACACCGTTTTTGGGAAGAAGACAGGAAGACAGCTGGGGCACCGGTGACCTACGCTAGGGATCGCTAGGGGTCAAAGTCACATTGTGTTGCTGGAGCTTAAGGAACTTCCACTGAACACTAGCACCAATTTTTTGGGGCCACGAAGACCTCAACACCCTACATGGATCTACGGGCAACACTCTGGGACCTCATTTTAAGATGGAGTTGGTCATACTAAAAACTGGACTTGTACTCAGTTTCTTTGTTTTCAGGACCAAGGTGTTGGATGGTTTTGGACCTGGGTCAGACTGGACTAGAGATCGGTGAAGCTTCCTGGCTGTTTTTTTTTGACCTTCCTAGATAAGAGGTTGTGCTCCGGTGTCCAACTCTCCTGGTCAGAGCCTTTCATTTCGAGCCGCACTGATGGATCACCTGCGCGAGAAGATTACTGGATACCTGAAAACCCTGGAAACCAAGCAGAAAGACATAGTTGTTCCCATGATTTCGTTCACACGGCTTTCAGTTGACAGGTGCCCCGTTTGAAACCGCTTCCTGGAGAGTGTCCACCGATCGAGCACCGATCGGCTCGGTGACGCCCCAGCGCGCTTCGTCTCGACGGTTCCCACCTCGACGATGTCGTGCTGCTGGTGGTTTGGGGTCGACGGTTGGGTCGACCTCAGGGGTTGTCGGACTTGAAGAACCAGTTGGGTTCCGACCTCCAGGACTCCCAGCGACGAGCGACTGCAGCGACTGCGAGCGCGTTGTTGAAAAGCGACGACAAGCGTGCCGAAAGAACAGCGACGACTAAGTGAGTGAACGTCCAGCCAATGCTCCGCAAAAGGACGTGTCTTATTTTTCCTGATGGTGTGGCTCGTTTGGCGCGCGATGCCGAGCCAGTCTTTGTGTTGATGTTCTTGGGATTTCTGGAAGAAGTCAGTGGGTGAAGGAGGTTGAATGAGCTAAACGGATTCTAGGTGGAAGACATGCCAGGACATATCTAAACATATTATGTTTTTTTCTTCGCCTTTCTGGGATGAAGTTCGTTCCGTCATGTTCCGTCCGTTTGGCCTTGTCTCCTGAGCGGAAAGCTCCCGCCGCGGGTCCCGGCAGGAGCTTAAAGGGAACTTCATCGAGAAAGGCGATGCTGTTGGGAGCTGCAGCTAGGGTCAATATGGGTTCGTATTGGAATAGGGAGACCCCCCACATGTCCCCCTTGGGGAAGGACAAGACCATCCAAAAACCCCATTGGGCCAACAGGTCTCCCCACAACCAATGACACACCCATCACCCAGAAGAGACCAACGGACTGGTCGAAAGACAGGTTCGCGCGGGCTTTTGCCGCGCGCGGATATCGGTGGAGGCATGTCTATATGTTCATAACATAAGTGATGTAAGATGATGTAACCAAGTATATAGCCAAAGATTTTACTGGCAGGGTCTTAGTTTCAATAACAGGGCATCGTGGTTTAGGTGCTCCGGTGGTGCAGGTGAAGAGGAAGACCATGTCCAAGACAGGCCCTGTTCTCGGAACGATCATATCAGACAGGTCAAACAATCCGGAAAAAGGCCAAAACAAGATTTTCTTGATTGGTGCAATTTGGCTGCAATGATCCAACTGATTGGCTGCAATCATCATGTTTGGCTGCAAAAAATCGCTTGTTTGGAGATCGATTCCGTCTTGGAGATCACCAGGCTAGCTGCCTTGCGAGAACGTGTCGCGGAGCTGCGACTGAAGGAGGCGAGACATCGCGCGAATCGATGTTTTTTTTACATAGGGACAACATGCCAGCATGACTACCTGACAACATGCCGGCGTGAGCATGATGCATGACAGCATATCAGGGAGACAACATATGCCGACGTGCCCGTGCAACAGTGCTATATCAGCATGACAGCATTTTGCCACATAACATGACAGACTGACAATGGGCTCTTCTGTAGAAAGAGTTTGCGTTGCAGACGTCCACACGACCGTGCACACCATAAGAGCCATGGTAGCCGTAGCACGTCAGAAAACACCATGTCACCCTTGCGCCCATGGTCAGCGCAACAGCATGTCAGCGTCTCTGCGCCCATTGCTGCACCGCCAGGCCGAGCGCGGCGAAAGCCGAAGTGCTCAGCAAGCTCGTTTGCAGGAGGTGTCATGGCCGGTCACGGACGTGTCTTTAAGTGGACGTTCTGGCCTCCTGGAACACTCTTTTCATCTCTTTTCCACTTCCACTTCCATGGGGATTGTCCACTTCCATGGTTTGTTTCACGGAGTGTATACATTTTTCTCAATCCAGGACGTAGCGTCGCCGGGCCCATGAGGGTGGTCATCGAAATGCACATGGGTCCATGTCGGAATGCGCAGGGTGAACCTCCTAACCCGCTTGGTTGTGCTTTGTTACCAGTTGATGAGGTGGTCAAGTGAACAAGCCCTCTAGCAGGGCTACGCAGGGCTTACAAAACGGAGGAAAAAATACAGGCCACTTGAGCCATCTTTGGGGCTTGGCAGTGTTCCTGTGGATGTTTCGCTCTTCATCATCTTCGATTTGGCCACACATGTTCCTGTGGACATTTCGCTCTTCATCATCTTCGAATTGCCCACAGGTTGAGCGGAGCATCCAGCAGTTGGAAGCACTTGCTGAGACTAGCGATGCCACTCGACCAAAGCTACATGAGGCTCATGGTTGCATTCATTTTAGAGACGATCTAGTCATCTGGGAGTCGTCCTTTGATGCTAGTCACTAGTCTATGAAGGTTTTGATGGAACCTTGTCACAATGTTTTTGCGGAAGAGAAACACAAGTCTGTGGAAGGCTGGGGATTGGAGTCTATATACTGCCCCCCAAGGGCCATTGGGTACCTCTGTACTTGGGAGGGTATCTCACTTCACTCAGGGCCACTTCTGGGCATGCCAGGCAGTATCAAGCTTTTCACTGGAGATAGCATGGCTCTAAGGTTGTGCCGGACTGTTCAACAGCAGATCTTGAAACACGAGTCGAAGTGGTTGCTCAAAGTCCTTGAGGCATTAGGAAACCCTTCTTCTTATGGGTGTGAAAAACATGGGTGTTGAAGAGATTCCCGTGATAGCCAGAGAAAAAGGAGAAGAACGATCTGCGCCTCCACCCACCACGGCAGATTTTCTGGCCTCTCTCCGCTTTGTCCTGCGAAGCGAACCTTTTTCGTGGTCTTTTCGATCACAGCCCAGTACCAGGAAGAGCCGACTCCGGACCCCCTGACCGATTTGGGTCTCCAAAGGGAGGCTACTACTAGGAGCAAGGACGCAACGCCCGGTGGAGGCCATCGCTATTGGGGTGGAGGCTTCCAAAAAGGGAAATCGTTTTCACCTCTAATTTCAGAGGTTTTCAGAGGTTCGATGGCACAACCCCAAGGATGATCTTGGATGGGAATCCTCATCCACCGACACGGGGGGATGCCATTGCTCCGCCGCTCCAAGGCGCCCTCGGCCGGTCCGGAGCTCCTCGAGTCCGAGGCCATGGAGGCGGGGTGCCGAGCGAGCGGTGGCGGGACACCACGGCCGGTGGCGCGGTTTCGATGTGACAACTTCCCTCTTGGAGTCCTTGGAGACTTGGAGAAAAAAGCACATGAAAGAAGGAGAAGAAGAAGAAGAAGAGGAGGTCGATTCACCCAGCACCTCCGAGGATTTTTGTGTTTCAAGCCTTTTTGTATGGTTTTGTCTATTTTTGGGCGCCGGTTTCAAGTTCCGAATTCATGGATGTACAATGGTGTGCATTTATTTTTCCTCTAGATCAGGTGTCTCTTTAGTTTCTTCTTTGGGCCCCTTGTTTTCAGACACAGCTGCCTGAGGCGATGCAGGCGGAGTTTCTCCAGCGTGAGGCCTTTTTGTTCAGCAGAAGCATTTGGGTCTAGTGAACTGTAGGGAGAACTTTTCAGTGGGACCCCCTGGGAAGAGCTAAGGAGGTACCCTCAACTGTGCAAGCGAACACAACAAGCTCAGCTATCATCGATTGCGCTGAATAACAATGAACAAATCTATTTTTAGCCGGACATGCAGTCCACTGCATCATCCTTGAACCCTTGCACCATTATGTTTGGGTTTGGGAAGGGTTATTCTGTACGAAACATCGACTTGTTGGGTTTGTTGAATATTTGTTTGGCGGATTTTCCGCAGGCCGCTTCACGCGAGCGTTTGGCCTTCACTTCAGAAGCGACCCAGCAGGCAGTGGGTAACGTTTGCGTGGCACAGATTCAAGGGAGCCAGACAGATTCAGGGAAGCCAGACAGATTCAAGGAAGCCAGTCAGGCAGGTTCAGGGAAACCAGGCACATTCAGGGAAGCCAGGCAGATTCAAGGAAGCCAAACATTCAAGAAAGCCAGACAGATTCACGAAAGCCAGAGAGGGGACTTAAAGGCCATGTTGGACTCAAAAACCTACACTCCCTGAGACAATGAAAGGACATGGAAAATGGCCACTTGGATGAGCATTTTCTTCTGGACCGCATAGCTGAAATCACCCTGGAATGTCCATGCCGATGGCTTCTTCTTCTATCAACCAAGTTGAACCGACGATCGACAGCTTTTTGGCTTGTTGGACACTCCTGTCGGCACGCGTCGTCGTCGTCACCGGGGAGGCCGCGGCCAGCAACGAGCATTTGCTTCAGCAACTGGACTTCTGGCGAGAGAAGGTGCGGTCCCGGTGCACACCGAGCGAGTGTCCACGCGGCCCCCGGGGGGGTGTCGATGGTCGATACGTGGGTTTGGGGTGATTTCTTTCGGGGTCTGCGGTGAGTGAAGATGGACCACGCGGCCACGCCGCTACACAGGGTAAAATGGCGGTCGATGGTGACCGGAAAGAGGAGATTGCCAAGTGTTTCTCTCATTGCCATGAGCAAGAGAATACTATCTTAAGAAGATATGGCTGGTTCACATGGCTGGAACGGAGATCATGGCTAGACAAGAAAGATGGTGGAAAGCGAACCTGAAAACAAACGAACGGCCAGGCCAAACAGCTTCTGGCATCACTTGGCCTTCAAACTCTTCCAGAGGCAAGTCAGCAAGAGTGGTCGTGCTCCCCAAGCAGAAGAAACAACATCCAGTTATTCCGTAATACCTTAGAAGTCCAAAGACTATATTTTGACCGACTGAAGCAAAAGACATGCCAACTCGGGTCACCTAAAGACAATTCTTTGTATAGTCTTTGACTGCCAGGGTATTTACATACATTCAGTATATAGATCCCCAAATGGACAGAAATGTAAAATCCCTTTCAACATGTATTGGACACTGTGCCACTATCTATTTGGGGACCACTATATACCCTTGAAAGCACAAGTTTTAAAGAATGGTCTGACGCATGGTGACCCGAGTTTTATGGAATTTCCTGCAATCTTTGGTGGTGCAAGTCCTATCATGTTTCACGTAAAATAGATATGTCCATTCTGCATTATTTTATATAATCCAGACTACCCCACACAATCCTGCTCTAACTGTAACTTACCCTGCTCTTTTGCTTTTTGACGGTTGACAATGTAAGACACATGGAATGAGAAAAGGACGTGATAGAGTAGGGAATTATAGACAATGATAGACAATTCTATCCCAGTTAGCCTACTGCACTCTACCCTAAGCCATTTTACTTTGGATGAATTCACTAGAGTGGAGTAGGGGAAGGTGGACTGAATTCAAGGACTACTGTAACAGAACGGTGCCGTAGAGTAGAGAGAAGGGTGCAATGGACATTTTTGGGCGAAGCAAATGGAGCCTGAAGTCCAGAATGTGGAAGATGAGGCGTTGTGGTATAGTATCAAGGTTCATGGTGAAGAGATGTGAAGAGTATGAAGCATCATGTGAAGCATCAAATACTGTAAGGTAGACCAGAATAGTTGTCCAGGTAGGGGAACGTAGAGTAGCGTGCATACCTCTAGATAGAATGCGATGATCCAACTAGAGAGCCTAAACTGAACAGTGGAGGCTCGAAATCACTAAAAGAAAACACTTACTCTGAAACATATTTAGTTCTTTAGTCCTGCGGAAGGCAAAGCAAACCTCAAACACAAGGAAAGGGGTGTTTGAACGTTTGTTTGCGGAATACGTTCAAAAAACGACTAGACTATATCAAAAACACTAAGCCCCTCAAGTCACCAGGTCTAACCGGGTGTTTAGAATGTCTGTAAACAATTTGCAAAATAGAACCATTCTATACAATTCTAACCATATTCATTTTTTTAAGTTTTGCATAATACTAAAGAAGCTAGACTTTCGATATATGTATATATATTTGGTTTTGCAGTTTTGGGGACTACACAAACAACTAAAGACACTAAATCTAAATCCCCCAAGCCACCAGGTGTCCTGGATCTTAAAGTTCTACAAAACTGTAAAGAACAGCCAACTCAATAATTTTGTATTTTCAGCTATGCAGAATACGAACCATGAACAAAGTAAACAACACACACACAACATTCTAAACATACACATAGAGTTTTGCAAAAGACTAAACCACATATATATATATAACTGTCTTTAGTTATTCTAGTCTTGAAGACTACTAAGAACACTAAACATTCATATTATTTTTGCTTTTCTCTTTTTCTTAGTAAGAGCATGGGCGATATGGTGAAGAACCAACGGCAATAACATACTCATATTATTCTTGGAATATGTTTGAAACACTGGACAATAATACAACAAAGCACCAGACGCGACAACCTTTGCCGATCATCGCTTTTTCATAAAAGGAATATGCCCGCTGGCTCATGTCTTTTCGCCCTTGTGCGGCGCTCCCCAGCGCTTCCAACTCTCCTTCATTCGCTTCTGCAGCATCTAAAAGGGGTGGAAAGGACATGAAGGACCATGTGTGATGTCAGGCCTTTCGGTTGCAAGTCGACAGGTCCGACAGGCGCCCTTTGAAGGTGTTGGTGATGGTCTTGGAGAGACCTGTTGGCGCCGATTCGTTGCCGGGTCACGTTGGCGCCTTCGTTCTCTCCGTCTCGGTCGAGCCGTCTCGTTCTGGACGAGAACGAGATCGACGAGATCGACCGGTTGGATCGTCCGATTTGGAGTCCAGTGAAGATGGTCGAGCTTCCATCGTTGTTGGATCAGGAATGTGTGTGCATCATTCCAATTAGGATCACTAAATGAGGAATTGATTGCTTTGCAGACCATCATGTGAGAGAGGTCCCATATGCAACTACCACCTATTGGAGTCGCAGGTTCAATATTCTAGAAACCTTGAGTTGTGTTTAAGTTTTGCGACTACTTTTAAACACCCAAACAAAGAGTGTTTGTTTCTTATAGTTCTTTTCTTAAAGCCTTCTTGGCAGTTCTAAAGGCCCGTGTGGGATTTAGGTATCTTTTGAATTTTGCAAACTTTGTAAAGAAAAACAACTAGTTTGCTTAATTCTATTTAGTTCTTTCTATCTTTGCAGGATTCTGCAAAACCGCAGATTATTTTCTCCATTTTAAAGGTTCTTCATTTTCTCTTTTATCTGAATTTCTATTCGAATTTCTAAATAACCACCAAGAAAGCTGACGGCTTGAGGGATTTAGTCAATCCTGCTTTTTAGTATTCCGTAAAGCGAAAAAACACTGAAAGTCTGATTGTACTTACAACATACTGTATAGCTTTTTCCTCAAATGCACAGACAATTGTGACCCTATGTAACACAACAAGGTCTTTTGTACATATATTAGATCTAATACAATGAGAACCTGCCAGTCTCACTACAGACGACGATGGCGAAAGTGGCTGAAAAACGTTCAGGTCTTCATGTGCGGGTGTCTATGGGGTTTATATAAATCCAGGTCTCCACTAACCTTTTGCTGAGTTTACTATCTTGAACCCTGAGAAAGAGAACATCAAACACGTTTTAACTTCAGGCTAAAACGCATGAAAGCGAGCATGAAACAACTCGAGCACATTTTTAGGTACCACTTGGGGGTTCAGGGGAAAAAGACCATATATATTGATATTCATCGTATCAAGTGTGTCAACTTCATTCACCCGGCGCCATCACCGTTGCTGCGAGTGTTCCCTCTACTGGCGGGTCCGCAGAGAACGGTCCAAAGCCCGGACCCGCTCCCGAGAGCCACCGAGCGGCTTGGACACTGGGAACCGGTGTTCGGTCCGCTGGTCACGGGGCCAGGACATCGACGTGCAGCTGAGGAAGCTGGATGAGTCGGGCGATGAAGACACGGAGGCGCCAGCCTCATCCAGTCAGGCTCCTTCACAGCTGGAATCAGTCACCGTTTGATCTCATTTTGGAGACGCTTGATAGGTGTTCGATGGTTTTGAGACGGTCATTTTGTTGTTATTGCGTCGTCACTTGCAAGTGAGTTTGGTGTAGTTTGGTGCTGACGTGGAGCACGAGTAGGTCATGGTACTTCTATCCTCGACCCAACAAAAAACAGGACAGAAAAGTCAGACTGACAGGCTGCGCCGAACACAGATGATGCCAATGTGCATGCAGCTGAGGTACGGGCCAAAATAAACTCAAACGGCAAGTGGTTGGCAGTCCGCTTTGCACTTTGGCCCTGATGATATGGGGATTAACCAAAAGCCAGGCACAAGGGGTACTAGCACTTCTGAAGATTAGAGCAAAGTGCCAAGCCAAGACTAACTTTAAGTACTGGCACCCCTTGACTTGAGCCAGGGCTATGAACAGACTCCCAAGAGCACAGGTCTGGAGCCAAACCCTATCTGATATGGGTGGAAGATTGAGCCATACGCCGGCCGTTTTTTGCGGTGCCTTCATTACGACTGTATGCCCAAATCGCAGTGCCTATGGATTCTCCCATCCTTCTTGCACCAACTGGCCAGGACTGTGCAGCTCAAAGGGCCGCCATCCAGGTGCGGTCACTCCGTGTGCACGCCACGGTGCGGTCCCGTACGGTGCCACGGCGGAGGTGCTGGAGGCGTCGCTGGCGGAGCTCATGCGAAGCTCTGAAGAGATGATGGGCCGAGTGGACGAGCAACATCGACACGAGCGGGCCCGGGTGCCCGGAATGGCGGGGGGGGTCACCTGGCGGATGTTGGGTGGGTGGTGTTGGGGATAGAGCGGATGTGCTGAGGGTGGAGAGTGGGAAGGGAGATGGGAGTTCTTGCAGGGTGTATGCCTTTTGTAAGAGCTGGTTCCGGAAAAGGGGATGGGACATGATGGGACAAAAAGAGCTTGGCAAGTGGAAAAACCAACAACATGAGTCCTGAGTGTTGGATGCAAGGCGGCTCAATTACAAGTTGGCACGAGTATTTCCATGCTCCTTTTGTTACACAGAGCCTACCAAGGTCATTTATTTATTATATTTACATATATTTATATTATATACTGTATTTTCAACTGCAGGTTCTCATGTATCATGCCAATTCTTGGTGAAATATCGGGTACGTTGCATCGTTCATTTTTCCAGTCATTTCAACCTTGCACTCCTGCGACTCATGATCAGATTTTCACTTGACCTTGTAGACTCAAAACCACTATAAGAAGAAGTCGAAGACAAGGTGACTTTCCGGACACCTTCCAGAACCGGTCTTGCCCCGGACCCCCCAAACACCACCGCACCTGTTTACGTCGCGCCAATCTGGGATGCCTGTCACCTCTCCAGGAGTTGGCTGCGAAGCTTGAAGCCGTGGAGGCGCGATTGACCGCTGAGACGTCGGGGGAACGACGGTGGGGATGTTGTGGGGTGGATGACCATTTTCCTCCACTGACAAGTGGTAAAACACTTCCATGATGTTTCCAGGGAGTGTAAACATGCTACTGTAGTGCATGTTGATCATTTCAAGCGGAAGGGCATGAGGCAACTCGTCCAAATGCTGGAGAACAGGAACCCCACAGATTTCATCCTTGTGACTGACTCCTGGTTTAGTCGCCTTTGGTTCAGGTGAGTTTTGGCCAGTGACTAGCCAAGGCCAAGGGTGAGCCCAACTGTTTTAACAGTTGCCACACCCACAGCTACCCACAGCCACCAGCTAGCCATGCTTGGGAAGATACACGTCTTGACACTTCCCAAGCTACTACGGCTGTGGCACGTCGTGCTTCGCCAGCCGGTCCACTGGTCCCCGGCGGGAGGCGCTCTCTGCGGCACAAGCGCGTGAGGAAGGGCTACTGCGCCGGAAGCTGGAGGAAGCACGTGCACCGGCCGCTTGGAGTGAACCACCTCGGGTTGTTCGGGCGGCCTGGTGTCTCTTGGGACAATGACCCGGGGGGCCGCTTGGGGTCGGTGTTTGAAGCGAAAAAACATGGGCTGAAACGGCTGAAGCGAGGGGTTATTGTATACAGCATATGGATAGTGGTAAGGAAGAATATGGAAGATTATGGAAGATGATTTTGGGTGCCTAAATCAATACAAGTAGTTTGCGGGCAAGCCGGCGGCGGAAGTTTCCTATAAGAAGAAATTGACCTATAGGAGTGTCCACGTTCTCTCCAACATGCGCGTCCTCCAGTCAAACGCACGCGCTCCGGACTTTTGACCCACGGGATTCCACGTGCGTAAGGTGTGTGTGCCCCCTGCGAGAGATGACGCACATCCGGCCACCACAACTTGCCAAGGATGCGGTCCACATCGACACACACATCCCACCGTGGCATTCTTCAGTGGCGGCAAACCTTGCATATCACACATCGGACTGAATGGAATCCGAATTTGAATGTAAAATCTGTCTTGAACTCTGAGACTATGTATGATGAGTCTTGTATGATGAGGGGTGTATGACAAGTGATGAATGATGAGTGGTGTATGTTGAGTGGTGTATGACGAGTGGTGTCTTGACCAGCAGTTGAATGTCCTGTCCTGCATAACTGCAACCAAATACTATCAGTATGAACTGAACGTGCACTCCGTGAGAGATGACTCAGCAGCGAGAGATGACTCAGTCGCGAGAGATGACTCAGCCGCGAGAGATGGCTATAGCGAGAGCTGACTCAGCAGCGAGAGATGAATGAGCAGCGAGAGATGACTCCTCCGCGTACTACACTGTTCGCCAGTACAACTCTAGTTGTACTACGAAGTCGCCAGTCCTCAGCTTCTAGCTGCATAGATTGCTCCGCGTGCTGAAGTTGTACTACAATGTCGCCAGTTCTCATCGTCCAGCTTGCCAGATACTCCGCGT